CCCATTACTGAAAGGTCATCAGAGGGATCTGGTAAAATATAGGAAGAAACAGTCAGTGGCAAAGAAAAGTGAATAAATACTTCACAGACTTTTAGAAGCTAATCTTTGAAAGATTGCCTGTATTTATCATAGAGCAGAAAATGCATCAGTGATATCTTTTTAATTGTACATGTGTGTTTTTACATATTACGGGGTTTTGCGAGTGAAACAATTTAAATTCAAAGATTTACATTACAATGCACATCTGCTGGTAAAATGTGGTTTTCTCTACTATGAAGTAGTAGGCTAATTAAACATTGATGCATCAATTTTCTCTCACATAATAGGTGCGTTTCCACAGTTGGAACTTCAGGGTAATTTTACAGGAACTGCCCAGCATGTGCGTGTCTCCACTTGACTGGGCTGGCCGAACGCCCATTTTCAGGAACTTTCTGAGTTCTTGATTAAAGGGAAGGTACTCAGAATGGCCTGGTGGAGTAGCTGAGCTGAACTTTTGGTTAAGTCACGCTAGGGCTGCGCAATATATCGCAAATATATCGTTATCGCGATATCAGCATCGCAAACAACAGATAAATTTCGCAGTGAGTGGTTAGCTCAAATGTTTGCAACACATAATGCATTCTGTCAATCATACAGAAGCATGATGTTTTTTTAACAAATCAAAAAGAGTTCTTCACCCATTTGGCCAATTGGGTGGGTTCTCATGGGCTAGATGCCTGCCCCAGAGGTGTACTGCACTTAATTTTGATGGTTAGCAAACACCTGAGTTAGCTTTGTTCTGCTCTTTCTGCTGATTCTGCTTTTCCCAGGATCCAAAGATTGCCTTTTCTTGTTCATTTTCTTTTTCCCTTTCCTCACGTCTTTAGCTTTTCTTATTTTAATGAAGGTTTTGGTCTTTGTTTTATTTTAGTTTTTGATCATTTTTGTTCCTGAGTTAAGTTTTTATTCATCGCAAGTAATATCGTCATCGCAGTATTAATCCCTGTTATTGCATATCGCAGGTTTTCCTAATATCGTGCAGCCCTAAGTCACACTGATTTCCTGAAGAGGAAATTACATGAGTAGACGTCCAAAACAACCGGCAGCAGGAAAATTAGAAGAGTTGCTTGTGAAGCAGAATAGAAGCAAAATAAAATAAGCACAGATTGTGCTTAAAATTGCCGTTACTAAACTAACGACATTGGAAAATCTGACGGAATTTCCCCACAATGACTTAATTAATGGGTCTTTGTTGTCTCACAGAACGGCGTAAAAAATGTAGCTTCTTCTGGTCATTGAATGCAACATTTTACATCGCGCAGATGCTCTCGTCCTCCAAACGAATTAACATACTTCAACAGAATAAAACTTTTATTGTTATTAATGTTTCTGTGGATGCTATTTGGCGCTGATCAGTGACATCACTCACTGCCGAAGCAGTCGTGGTATGCTGACATCTGTGCAACGTCCTGAAAGGGTTGAATTGGTGTGGAGACACAACAGCTGAGAGAACCGGAACATCACTCAACCCCACCCCCCACCCCCCCAACCCCCAGAATTTAGCCTGAAGTTCCGATAATTAAAACATGCCTGATAAATACCATAGAGAGGACCATTCATCCGTTTTTGGCCGCTTATCTGGGGTCGGTTCAAGGCAGCAGTAGCCTAAGCAGGGAGGCCCAGACTTCCTTCTCTCCAGCCACTTGGACCAGCACCTCCAGGGGAATCCTAAGGCGTTCCTGACCAGCTGTGAGACAAAGTTCCTCTAGCGTGTCCTGGGTCTTCCTTGAGGTCTTCTACATAATTGAAAAACAGATAACGTGTTTTTTGAGGTAAAATGCATAGACTTGTTTCCTTACTTGGATCTTTTCACTGATTTCCTAAATTTATGCCAATCCATGCTAGTAAAAGTGAGGTTTCTACACGGAGGCCATGCATTATTGCCCAGATGATGCGTTTATTTGTCTACCGACACAAAAATCTGCAAAAACAAGACAGCCTTCATCTGATTTGATTCCTGCAGTGGGTTGCTGTGCCTTGGAGAATGTCAGTTTCTAGCGTACAGAAACTGATATCGAGACGCTAGAAGAAACACAGAACCAGCAAAAGAGGAATGTCACAATGTGGTGCTGCTGTGGCTTGTTTGAGGTTTTATGTGTCTCTCTGTGTGCTATTGTCAGGATGAACACTCCCAGTAATAAGCTCCTATGTGATCCCTCAGCAGTTCCACTCGGTGCTAAGACATTAAAACCAGCCCGCAGGAGAATTATGGCACGTGCCCTTACGCTCTCATGGATCAAAATTGAGGGTAGTGGACAAAATAATTGATTTGTCACAGTTGAAGCAAAACATTTTTCGTACTTCTGCTATTTCTCACATCCATATTTTCCTGCAGGAAGACTCTTCACAGTGTTTTCAGCCTTAGGTGCGTTCGCTGATATCAATTAATTGTTTTTCACAGGATTTTAAGCCTCTACTGCTCAAGACACATTCTAGCCACCACTAGATTTTTCTCAGTTCATTTAACTTATATAAAAACAGTTTTTAAAATTAATCTAGTGACATATTTTATCTTGTTGTCAAGCAATTCGAAGTGGATGTTTTTAGAAATACACCATTTCTGATTGTGAAGGCCGATATCTATTTTCAGTTCTTGTATAGCTGTGACTTATAGATGCTAGTATATCTGTAAGAACTATAATTAATCTAAAATGATAAAAATAAAGTAATGCAAAAATTGGATATTTTTTTAAGCCAAAAAGTCCACATTGAAGATGTGTTATTGGTAGAATTACTTCTTAGTAATGGTGAGTTCATGGATCAGAGTTTACTTTTATTATTGCTGATTGGTAATGGCACATTCATAAACCAAAGAATGAAAAATTTTGGGTTACAGACAGGTTGATTGTTGATTATTTGTTGATTTTAATCGTTTTCTAGCATCTTTAGCCTTAACACAAAAATAAAAGCACCTCTTAATGTTAACTTGTAAATTATTACAGTTAAAATAAACCTCCCAAACATTAACTGTACCACTTTTATACATGTGTGGAACCATTTATCGACAGATATGAAGTATAAAAATGCTTACTTAAGTATAGCAGTTAATGACCTGCGATCCACAGAAAACAACAGATGTTTGGCATCTTCCCTTGTGAGGTGCTGCCATGCCTAGTGTGCAGCCATCTTAACTTATTGCTTGTTTAGTGAGCAAAACACCTGCTCACTGTGGTTGAAGTGATTTGCCATTTAAGAGAATTGTACTGTTGAAGATGTATTGATGGTGTCGGTTTTATTCGGGGTCAACGTTCAGTTTGGTTCAGCATAGAAAAAAGCTCCTGGCTGAAACTCGCCATGTTAGCTTTGGCCAGTTTTTCAGTTTTAAATTCAGTTTTCCAACACCATGCTACTTATAGACAAAGCTGTAAATACATGTTAATTTGGCAAAAATTGAAAATTGAGGAAAAAATACACATTCATTAATTTTTAAAAGTACTCATCAGAGCTTGCCAGACCTGTATATAACAAGCTTTTTTCTTTTTTATGTTTTTGTAAGTCCGCTGGCATAGCTAGAAGCTCTGATCACACCATTTCAGTTACACCAGCAGAATAGTCATGATATACTGGGATTCTTTTAATGTTGCCTGTGAGAGTATAATTAATAAAAGAGCATTAATCATTTTGTAGGCTGAACATGGAGGGCTCATTCCTCCAGTTTGCCCCTTGACAAGCATCCCGCAGGCTCACTACTCATGCCCCCACCCCTCCACACACCCTCCCAATGTACTCGCCCGCCACATTTTGCCTCCTTTATTGAATGCCAATTAAGCAGATAAATTAGCAGGGTTCAAAGATTAATTAAAAAACCTGCTGGTTTCCCTGGGTGATGAAAAGGTTTCAGCTGCATGTTTCCTTCCCAGTTCTACAGAATATGTTAATGGTCTTTTTTAGCTCAGAGGGTATTTACTGAAGGAAATGTAGTCGAAGGAATTTAGGTCACAGAGCCCCTGGATGGAAATCATGCGTCGCTGACAAATGAAGCAAAACAGCTTGAATCAGATTACTCGAGGTAAGATAATAAAACAGATGTATCTTACAGTGTTCTTGTTCAGCAAGACAATTAATTTATCGAACAGAGAGAAATTGTCCTCAAATAGGATCAGCAATACTTGAAAACACCAGATTAGGTTTGCACCTCCCCACTAGAGGGCAGCATGCCTCCACTCAGTAGCCTAAAACCCTGAGGAAGTTGCTTTTTTCTCTCTGTTCATTCCAGCCATCTCTTTGTGAGAGAGTGCTTCTGATAAACATCCTCCTCCATTCTAATCATCATGTCATTCCCTAGCTTTTAGTGCTCTGTCCAGCCTTCACTCTATCCCCCGATGTCTCTCACATGAAAGACCTCTTTGTGATGCCGAATTAAAGTAGCATGAAGATAATACTCCCAATAACACACAGATACAGCCTATCCAGCCTATCAGATGTGATTGCATGGCCTCAATGGAAGCAGTGTTGTTTGATTTTGTTCCTCCGCTCAGAGTTCGGGTGCAGTGTGCAGTTTTTATTGCTGCTGCCTCGCTACTTTTATTTCAAGGACTAATTATTACTGCTATTATATTCTGCTGCTGCAGCCTGTGACATCACCAAAGAAACATAGTTAGAAATTAATTTACCCATAGGAGAGGATCTGATATAAAGGAATTATAGAGGAAATGGAATAATGTTTCTTCTCGCTAATGAACCTATTGTACTGTAAATGATCTGGTTCGAAGTGTAACATTGTGAAGTGCATGCTTTTTGAACTTTTCTGTAAATTTAAGTGGGTGACTGTTTTGTTCTGCAGTCAATTTCGCTGGGTCATCATCGTTAGATTCACACCATTTTATTCTTTGGTCCCTTCACATCCACATATACAATACATTAAATGTATAAAATATACTCAGATACTTCTGGTTTGTTATGTGCAGTGTTCTTCATTTAAAAGATTACATTTTTTTCTTTCATTTTGGTGTTTTTTTTAGGAGGACATGAACCTGAATGAAGAACGTAAAGCTCCTCTGCGTGGAAAAGACTTGAACACCAAACGTGAGATGGTGGTCCAGTACATCTCAGCCACAGCCAAATCTGTAAGTGAAAGAAAATATACCTATTATTCTAATTATATTAACGGGAGCGTAGTATGTAGTTGAAATGAAAAATTTAAAAGGAAATAACAAAATCACTACACTCGCCACAAGCCTCCAGAATGAATGTAACCTGATTGTCTGCGTCATGGCTTGCTTTTTCATTTGTGCTCACCCACACTGTCTTACGCCACTTTTCCTCACTCTTCATGCTTAATGCCCACATCTTTGATTTTTTATTTTAATTTTTTTGCTTCATTGTTTCCACCACTGTCAAAAATCTACTGCATTTAAATTAGAGACACATTAATTAGCTGCTAAGTGGATGGTCAGTGATTTTTGCTCTTTTGCATAATGGTGGCGGTTTCAGACCTCAGTGTTTAGCTATGAAAAACACAAATTCTAAGTTTTTATTTCAGCTGCAGAATACTAGTTTTTCAGAAAACCCTTTGATGCCATGAAAAATCATAATTAGCTCAGGTTATGATGAATTATTTACAACTTTATGTTTAGTTAAAACATCACAGAGATAAAAAAATAATCTAATGTTGAAACAGAGAGGTAGCAGTTTTGTCTTTTTGAAAAACATTTAGAAATTTGTCATCAGCACTTGTTTAAAAAAGCTGGAACAAAGGCTTAAACAACAATGAACAAGCATATTAAACCGAGAGTTTGAGGTGGAATTTGAACAGAAAATAATTTCAAAACATCTTTTCAGAAACAAGCAAATTAGGAAGTGCTGATAAAACGTTCATGTTAACGTCTTTTTGTGTAAAATGTGCAGGAAAACATACAAACATAAAGGATTAAAAATAGTAATAATCTACATTACATGATAACATGAAATATTAAAAAAGTTCAGACAAATCTCACTACACAGGAGAAAAGGTGTAAAACAAATCTAATATGAGGTAACCAGTGGGATTATCGCTCTGAATCAAAACAGAAAGTTCAGTTATGAAGATCAGTGCACAAAGATTTAGGATTCTTTACATAATCCATTAAAAACTGTGGATTATTCAAGAGTAATTAGCTGGCAGAAAAGCCTTATACATATATATTTTGAGTCGAGTTTGTTCTAATGAGCCTTGAGAGCAAGGCCATGAGCCAAAATGTGCTGGGTAAATAATACTGTTGTTTTTAGAGTCTTCTGTCTAGAGCTTCACTCCATCAAACATACAGTAGTTGGTGCAATAAGAAGCTAAATAACGCCAGAAAGTCTCAGGAACAGCTAATAAATACCAAACGGCTCTAACAGATCAGATTAGGAAACGTCCTTCAAATCTCTGTAAACGTGTGGGTTCGTTTGGCCTCTGATCAGCTGTTCTGAGAAAACCAACATATAAATGAATAATCCAAGCTTTATCCCAAAATGATTGGCTTGGACATATAATTTTGGTTTTATGTGTCGGAACCCAGTGAACAAGAGAAGTCTGATGAAAACATTAATTTGCAGGTCAGTGTTTTCAGCTGCTCCCATCAACTGTAGTTTTGTTTAAGACAGTACAGTTTTTTTTAACTAGAAATTAAAAGTGGTATAAATTTATTACTATAGGATGATTGTGAAACTACAATGATGAACAGATAAATGTAAAATATGTAAAGTCAGACAATTTCTAATGGTAACAGCGTTGAGACCATTTCCTTAGGAAATAAAAAATCCATGTCCCTGAAATTGACAACCATGTTATAGAATAGAATAGAATAATCTGTATTGATCCCAGAGTGGGGAAATTGGCTCATTAAGGCAGCGCATACACTTAGAGAATAGGAAAATAAACAAGTTCAGGTAAATACATAAAGGCAGCAGGCTATTATTGAAAGAGAATACTTAATTATTATTATTTGTAGTTAAGCCCTTCATCTAGATTTTCAGCTACGTTTGTTCTTCTGTGCTTGGCACAACCAATTCAGCCTTTTTAACAGTTATGGTGGTATTTCACGATATTGTCAGAAAAGTTTGATTCCATAATGATTTTAATATTAACTTCCTTTGTACTTGACAAAAATCACAAGGCTAAATTCTTTTCTACCTTCAAAGGTGTTTCTGAATAAATCAGGAGCAACATTCCTGACAAAGTCACCAAAGTGGTTATGAGTAAAGTGTGTTATTTCACCTGCTTAATGAACCCATAAACATTATGAGTCCCATCCATAAAATAAATGTTATTACTGCATCTTTTGGTTTCAGCACAATTGTCCAGTAAATGTTAGTCGTGTTCGGTTCTAAATTACCTACAAAAGAATATTTAGCAGCTGCATTCCAATTTTATTACGGTTTACACATCAAATTGAGTGTTTTTGTTATAAAACATTAGTTTGCAAAAACCAAGCATAAGCTGTGCTTTAAACGTAAAACCATAAAAAAGCATAAATAAGAAAAAGCCCCATACACCGTCTGCCTGTATAATAGCTAGAGATCTTATTACCAAATCCAAAAGCTAATAAACAATATTTTAGATTTGTGATTACTGTTTAAGCTCACAATTATTACATTACTATACATTGCATGTAGCTTTGTGTACATTTCCTCCTAATTCTTTGCAGATGATTGTTATACTATATACTAGTAGTCTGTCAAACACATAAACACAGACTTAGATTATACAGCAAGCAGTCTCTGTACAGTTTATATTCCATCATTCTTGGAGAAACAGAAACATGAGCAGGTTTGACAGTTGCCCATCAACGCCATATGGACTCTCTGGAGGCTCAGGACAACCTTATGAGGTGATATTCACGTCTTTTTTTGGAGAGAAAAATTGATTTCTTTCCCCATTGTTTCCTGAACCCGGTAGCTCTCCCTTGACATCGTCATTTATTACTTTCCTCATTGTTATGGTAATTAACTGGCATTATTGATAATGATGATTATCTGAGATGATTGAATTCCTCACAGGGCCCATTATGCTTTGTGAGCACAGATATTTTATTCAAATGAATAACATAATCTGTGTAGTGAAAGGACAGAGGACAAAATGTGATGTCTGTCTGCACCCTGCTATCACATTTAATAGGGCTGATGGAGGAGGTGGGGGGGGGGGGGGGGGGGTGAATGTCAGTGATGAAGTAGCTGTTCATGCAGATTCATGAAACTCTGCACACAAATACAATACAGAACAGCTGTACGAACACACAACCTCACATACTAAAATGTTACATGAAAATGGCTTACTTCAGCTTAATAGTTTAGTGGAGATTTGCATATGATTATAAGAACAAGACATGCTTTACCTAATCTGTGCAGCGAGAGACTCCACATACAGCTGTAACAAAAGATGCGGGAGCAGAATTTTATTTTACTGCATGAGCTAAACTCAGGAATGCCACAGAAACAGACAATATTAATGTGATCATATGTTGAGTTATGTCAAATATTAAGAATTTTATGTCAAAAGCCACAATCCAGCAAATGCACTAGTTATATAGGAACTAATTATTGGTCGATACTTTCAGTAGTTTAATACAATTTTCAAAAGTTATGTCCAAATTTTTTAAAAACTTGAAGCTAAGCGGGTCTTTCCAACGGATGCATTTGCGTTACGTAACCTCAGCTGAACCATAGAGTGCAACAATTAGCCACAGTTTTTTTCCACCGGCCTTGGGAGTCAAACACAAAAGCAGCGTAAAACATCTGGAATCTTTCAAAAATAAAGATCCAGTTCCAGTTGGTAAACTGGTAAAAAAAAAAGAAAGTATGCCATCGCCTGTGAGGTAAACAGAACACAACAGAAAATTAACGACAGACCTTGTTGGATACATGCTGTCGCCTTTCTTTTTGCCTTTTAACGCAGAACTGCAGAAATCACATGTGATCTGTGATTTTCCTGCGATTTCATGACTTCGCAGGATGAACTGCAACGTTTTGAATCTGAAACGCTCCCAGTGGGGAGAGAGAAAGTAAAACGTGCCTATTACGTTAGGTGCCGCTTACGCATCCAGTGGAAAGCCAGGGTTAAGTCTTCTATTAAACATATACCAAGTTTAATGCTTTATATTTTAAAAAAAATCACGTCATTTAAAATGGGCTTTGAAAGTATGACCAATTTCTCTTTAAGAAAACCACTTAGTGCTTTTGGCTTGTCTGAACTGATGCATGTATAGTAGGTGGTAAAAGGATGGATTACATGTTGTCTGTTGATGCTCGTGAGCATGCATTGTCGTCAATGTGGGGGTGGTGATTTTTGAGCATGTTGTGTGTTTTTGGTGTTGCCATGGTGCCTTCATTTGTTTGTTCCGCTTTCTTGACAGTCTCTTTGAAAAGCACTTTATAGTGAAATTATTGCAGTGAAGAGAGTGGCGAGGCTTCACTTTTGTTTCATTCCATTTTTACTTCATAGAGGAGGACATTTTACAGGTTTCAGTTGGACGTCTGGCAAGAAAATGGTTTTGTGGTTTTGTTTATGTATTTATTTTTTTATTAATTTTTTTTTGCTTGTTGCATTTGCAAATAGTTTTTGAGCAAATAACTTTTTCTCTTTTTAAAGAGAATTGCCATTGGAGCAACCTTGTCCATTATGGTTCCCTAATCATTTTTGACTTAACTGACAGCAAAGATGCTTTGAAAACAGACGTTTAAAACTGGTAAATATCAGCAAAACCTTCCACATTTCCAGACACAGGGCTGCCAACTCTCATGCATTGACCCTCTTCACACGCTCTCATGCCACACCTCCAATATCTCATGCTGAAGAATTCCCCCCCCCCCCCCACACACACACACACACACACACAGGGACACAACAGCAGCATTCTCTAGAGGGAGCCGGATCAAATTTACAAACTTCCGATCACTGGACAACCCGCTCTACCTCCTGAGCTACTTCTCTCCTGGTACATAAAGACCCTTAAGTAGTCAGTGAAGGATATTGTAATTTTATGAGTGATAGGTGCATCTATATTTCTTTTCTTGCAAGTTAACTCATTACATTATCTTTTAAACAGGCTTGACTTGATGGCTAAGAGTCGATTTAATTGCTTGCACTTATAAAACATTCAAAGGA